CAATGATCATAGATTGGAAGATTCGATATCGTTAAGATGCCAATTCTCCCCCAACTGATCTACAGATTCAGAGCAATTCCAATAAAAATCCCAGCAGCCTTTTTATAGATATTGACAAACTAATTCTAAAACAGATGGAAAGGCAAAGAACTAGAATAGCCAAAAGAATATTGAAAAAGAAGAACAAATTTGGTGAATTCACACTATCTGATTTCAAAACTTGCTATAGAGCAATAGTAATCAATACAGTGTAGTACTAGCATAAAGATAGAACACCAGGTAAATGGCACAGGATTCAGAACTCTGAAATAAACCCTTCTACATATGGTCAAATGTTTCTCAACAAAGGTACAAGACTATTAAATGGGGGAAAGAAAGAATAGTCTTTTCAACAAACGGTGTTGGGACAATTGGATATTAATATGCAAAAAAAAATTAACTCGGACCCTTGCCTCAAAGCATACACAAAAATCAACTCAAAAGGTATCATAGACCTAACTGTAAGAGCTAAAACTATAAAACTTCTAGAAATAAACATAGGAGAACATCTTTGTGACCTTGGGTTAGTGAAAGAGGTATTAGATATGTCACCAGGACCACATATCATAAAAAAAAAATTAATAAATTAGACTTAATTAAAATTAAAAAAGGTTTGTGCTTCCAAAGATTTAATTAAGAAAATAAAAAGCCAAGGTACACACTGGGGAAAAAAATATTTGTAAATCATAGACCTGATAAAGGACTTGTATACGGAATATATAAAGAACAACTCAGTAATAAAAAGACAATCTAATTTTAAAATGGGTAAAAGATTGGAATAAACACTTCAACAAAGGCTAATAAATAAGCACATGGAAAGATGCTCAACACTATTACTCACTAGGAAACTGCATATTCAAATCACAATAAGAAATCATTACACACCCACTGGAATGGCTATAATGAGGACAATGCCAAGTGCTGACAAAGATGCAGAGAAATTGAAATCCTCATTCACTGCTGGTGGGAATGTAAAATGGTACAGCCACTTTGGAAAATAGTTTCAGTTTCTTAAAAAGTTTAACATAAACTTACCATACAATCCAGCAATTCCATTCCTAGGAAACCACCTAAGTAAAATGAAAATATACGTCCACACAAAGACTTAACCATGAATGTTCATAGCAGCATTATTCATGTCATACCCCCAAATAGAAATAATACAAATATCCATCAACTGGTGACTGGATAAACAAAATGTGGTATATCCATATAATGAAATACTATTCAGAAAAAAAAGGGAAGAAACTACTGATAAACGTTACAGCATGGACAGCACGGATGTGCCTCTCAAAAACATTTTGCTAATTGAAAGAAGTCAGATGCAAAAGACTACTGCATTATTCCATTTATATGAAATGTCCAGAAAAGGCAAATCTAGAGAGATAAGAAATAAATCAGTCGTT